ATTATCACGAAACAGGGTGAAGATGGTGATTATCGTATAATCTACGAACAGTGACAAAATCATTAAAAAAAAAAAAACATTAAGCTTTTTCGTGAACAATTTTATATTTTTTTTTTAAAAAAAAAAAACTATAAGCATCCGAACATTTTCTTTTCTTTTTCTCCTTTACTTCTTTTTGGGAATAAGCTGATTTTTTTTTAAAAAAAAACAATATGCTTCAAATTAACGATAATGGACATTTGAATAAAAGTATTAATTCTGATTTTTTTTCTTTATACGTATCAAAATTTTTAATGTCATAATAATTTCCGAGTTAATAATGTTATAATTAAGTCAATAATAATATAACTAATGATATACATATGGTATTACAACGTGACAAAAAAAAATGACTATATAGCTGATAGAAAAAAAATAACTACGTACGTACGTACGTAGTAAAATATCATCGTTAGTAACATTAGTAATAATCACTAATAATAATAATCCCTGCATAAAACAAAAATAATTGCGTGAGAAATTTAGGTTAAACTATAACAATGACTGAAGTTATAAATTGGGCGGGAAACCCTTTAAACAATTAACCAAATTAGGATGTTAAGATATAAGATAGTTTCCAAAACGATATACTTGATGTGGGCGGGCGTTTTACCCCACAATTAACGTCGATCATGGATACAGCTATTGGTAAATGACACATGTTGAGAAGAGTAAAAGAATTGGCACACACGTTTACTTATCAACGAGTGACAAAAAGGTGATACTTATAAAAAAGGATAAGAATTGTTGATAGAAAATTTTCATTTATCGGGATAAGTAATTTGACCAAAGATATCGAATGTTACACGAAAGCACAATTTTACCGCCCTGCAAAAAATACCTCAACTATTCGAGGAAATTCCCGTCGATTAAATTTGATATACAAGGTATAACAAGATACAATAATAATAAAGTAAATTAAGTACGTAAATAGTACTTTACTGTACATATGTACATATGTACTTACATTGCAACATTGAACCATATGAACCATTGAAACACGTGATTCATTAAAAAATGTGTGGAAAAGTTGTTGAGGAAAAAAAAAACAGGTTATGCATGTATTCATGTTATTCATGTATTCTTGATTAACGCTTGAAATATTAACACATGTACTGATCAAAAAAAAAAAACTTCTAAATTCTAAAATTCTACAAATATATATTACGTATTGTACGTACAGTACATACCTGATACGTACAGCACGTATATTGATGTATACATATATATATATATATATATTATTGATATATATACGTATATTTATGTGTACACACTTTTCTGCATTTTGTATCGCACATACGTAGTAGAACTCAAGGTTGGGCGTTATCTGAATAAAAATCGTCAAAATAAAAAAAATTAGGCGGGAAACTTTATATCGTATTACATTGATTACATGAATGACTCTGGTAATAAGGCGAGATGTTAAATCAACTGACATTATATTTGTTACACTACACTTTGTGTATATAAAAAACCTTAAAATTCTATTATATACGAAATGTATTAAAAATTCATTAATATTATTAATATTGAAAATAAAACAACTACAATACCCATAATAATATCCATTATAATATCCATAATAATCATAATAACTATAATATCTGATAATAACATAATCTACATACGTACGTACAGTACGTACGTACGCACGTACGTTACGTATGTACAATAAAATAACAGATAATAATAACAATATTTATGTACAATATGTATTTACAATATCCACTTCCTTATATTTATATCGTTATAGCTTATTTATTATTATTATTATTATTATTATCAGTTATTGCAGGTATTGCAGTTTTTTTTTTTTTTACGTAAGATGGTAAAGGCGTTAGACGAATATTAAAGAGAACCATATACATCATATATATTCAGCATATATATATATATATCATGATATTACAGCATATATATATATATATCATGATATTACAGCATATATATATATATTTCATGATATACAACATATATACAGCATATATACAAGAATAAAAAAAAGTACGAATGAATGCGCATTTTTATTAAAGTTTAAATCAATTAAAGTGTGAAACTTTGGTGAAACTAATTTTCTTGAATTTAATCCTGGATTCTCTACAAGATAAGGTTTTGTATACAATGCCTTATATGTAACACTAATAAGAATAATAAGATTTTTATGCGATTTTATGCGATTTTTTATGCGATTTTTTATGCGATTTTTATGCTCATTACAGCAAGCACTTTTTCACGTTTAAAATAGTTAATTTGTGTTTGTCATTGTGTGATCGAGTTGATAGATAAAAAAAACATCAAATAACGTGTCTTTTTTAACCTTACATCCTTACATCATGTGATACTCATGTGCTACTGATAGATATTCAATTTACCTCAAAATGGTTTTAATTATTGGTTTTTTATCATAGATTTGTTTGTACACTCCTATAGACTAAATATTTGCTTCGTTGGAAAACTTTATTGGATTCAATTTAAACTCTGTACGTAATTATTAAACTTTGTTTGGTGATTGGTTTAATTTGTTTTAAATGCACGTATCAGTTTGTGTTTGTTGATAAACATTTTTTTTTTTTAATTAACTGTCCAGAAATCTCCTCTTCTTAAATCGCGAGGTTTTAAATGTCATGGATTGATTTGCTGTATGTATGCTTATCAATATTAGATATGCTGTACATAATATACACATTAGGAATTCAGGATTTAAGAACATGCGTACTACATTCATCTATTTATCTGTTATTAGATATAATGATAAAACTTGCATGCCCAAGACTGCATGCATCTTTTTCTTAAAGTTACAGCTCCACGATGACTATTATGTAATTTTTTGGCGCCGTCTGGACCAATTGTCTTAATCAACAATAATATCATCGAGATTTTAAATTTATACGCATAATCCATCTAATATTTATTTATTTAAAAAAAAAAAAAAATTACTAAAAATCGTTTGCCTCCTAAGTGTGATGTACTAATAAGATTTTTTTGTAATATTGAATTAAGTCCCGAAATTTTGTCCGTAATGTTTTATTCTGCCAATACAGTAACCAAAGAGACGAACCAAGCTCTTCTTGTGTATACCATTCTTAGCGAATGGTTATCGAATGGTTATGTGAATTATATGAATTATGTGAATTGTGTGAATTATGTGAATTATTTGGTGGTCGTAATGCATTAGCAATTAATAGTTTCACAATACTCTTTTAGAAACTCAAGTGACCTTCATATGGCTACTTAAAAGTGATTCAATAAACACCAATTGCTCAAAAAAAAAAGCCTTACTTGAAAAAAAACCAATGTTTGAATGAAAAAAAAAATTCAAAATCACGTGGTGAATCCTAATTTATAAGTTAATTAGGGTTATTCGAGAATGGGCTGAACTTTTGAAAGGTATTACACTAAATAAATAATAAATAATATATTGCCCCATTTATTCAACTAAATAATAAAGTATTTCTGTATTTTGACATAAACTACATAAAAAAAAAAAAAAAGTTACTAATGCAGTATTGTATATTGTATATTCTATACTGTATATTGTATATTGTATACTGTATATACTGTATGTCGATAAAATAAGTCATACTTTATTCTTGTATCCTTTTTTTGTCAGACGCCAAACCTTCGCCATTCAAAAAATCAAATGTATTCAAATTGGCTTGTATTGCTTGATATAAATGATAGGGAACTAGTATTTTTTTTATTCGCTGTCGATATGAATTATAACGACTATCAAGCGCCGAACTACTAAACCAATTGATTTCAGGTGTGAATGGATCATCTAACTGTTCTGACTTGTATATATTTATGGCCTTATTAATCAAATCCTTCAAAAATATCTTGGTCAACTATAATTATCAAAAATTACAAAATTATTACAAATTTTAATTTTATTAGATTAAATTCTCCATCTATAAAAATACATATAAAAATACATATAAAAATACATTTAATATACATTTAATATATTTAATACATACCTGGAATATCAAATTTCCCGTTTCTAAACGTTGCTGTATAGCAACATTAATGTCACCATTCTCCACATCAATTTTCCCATCGATCTTAATTAATTTGGTAGCAACTATAGACTAAATATTTGCTTCGTTGGAAAACTTTATTGGATTCAATTTAAACTCTGTACGTAATT